TGCCTGCTCCTTCCCCAGTCACCTGGGCTGGGGCCATACCACCCAGCGCCTGTGGAGGGCAGGCTTTCCTCGCCCATAGACTGAGTCAGCTGCCTTCTGTTGGACAATGGCAATAGCTTCTCCCCTTGGTTGAAGGTTGTTTGTACAAAGACTATCTCATTAATTAAGCCAAGTTTATAAATTTAGTTATAAATGTAGAGTTATATTTTGTTCAGTTTTGTTAGCTTGCGGGTTTTTCTTCCACTGATTCAGTAGATGATGTGAGAAGGAGAATTACTGATGCTTAAGGGAGGCAGAGCTGGATGGTGGGATGATATCTGGGCGCCTGCTGAAGTGGACTTGCATCTTGGATGCCGGTGCTAACCGTGAGGTGACCTTGGATTAGATAGTGCTGGTTGTGCCGGTTTCTCTTTCTACAATGAGCATAAATGTCACCAAGGCTGCTTTTGTAAGAATGTCAGACACTCCATGTGGAAGCCTAGCTCAGGGCTTAGAAAGGGTGATCATGACTAAATCAGAGGTTTTATCTACACATCTATGCATCCATCTATGCATTCATACATACATACATACATCCTTTCATCCATCCATTAATCTATCTATCCACCTATCATCCATGCATCCATCCTTCCAGCCATCCATTCAAACATCCATTCATCCATCCATTCAACTATTCAGTCGTCCATCCATCTATCTGTTCAAACATCATTTTATTTGTCCATCCACCCACCCATCTATCCATCCAACCATCCATCCATCCATCCATCCATCTATCCATCCATCCATTCCTTTAAGCATCATTGCTCATAACAGTCATCATTCTCCTAAGACTGGGCCCTGTGCTTCCTGTCACAGATTCAGCTGTACAGACAAGGTAGACCAAGACCTTGCACCTGTGCAGCTTACCTGTAACTGGAAGTCAACAAAAAAGCTTTCCTTAAATATGAGATAAAGGAAAGTGATTGTGTCATGAACCACAGAAAACCACTAGGGCAGCCTCCTGCAAGGAGGTCCCGGCGGGCGGTCCCACCAGGACTGTTTATGTGTGTGACATTTGCTGCATCAGTGAATAGTGAATCCAAGGGACCTTCTGGATAGGAGTGTTCTAGGAGAGGAACAGCATGTACAGAGGCCCTGAGTGCAGATGGCACTCGGTAAGGGAAGGGAAGCATGGAGAGTGTGCCTCTCGGGGTCAGACAGGGGCGGGCCACCTCATAAGATAGAAAACACACGTCAGTTTAAGCAGTGACTGTATGAAGGAACAACACAGCCCACGTGGCTTCGAGTAAAGAAAAGAAATGGATGGGAGAGCCTGAGAGAGGAGCCAGTAGTTAATGACCCGTGAATGCACTGTCCTCTGTGGGGATGACTTGGGGCCCATTTCTTTCCATCAT